GGGGGGGGGGCATATCTTTTAAAGAGACTGTACACTCTAAAGGGATTTTTCATCCAAAAATGAAAATCCTGTCATCATTTACGCAGACCGTTTGACTATTCACAAGACAGGCGTTTCACAAGACAAATTCTTTTTGTGTTTGGAGCAACATGAGGGTGAGTAAGTGATTTCAGAATTGTAATTTTTGTGTGAACATTTAAAGAATGTTTTGTCAAGCAACCTAAATTCTAAACAACTAGTTTTACTCTTAAGGTCAATAATATGATTTAAGCCACTTCTAATGACTATTTCTCTTTCAAGTCAGGTACAACATTTCCTTAAAGCAACAATGCTATATTTCCTGTCTTTACAGAATACTGAGAACCAGAAAGCAGCAGGTTTGCGGAAGATTTCGACTATTAATCGAGCAGTTATGCGCTAACAGACTCCAATAGAAGGAATCACATCACACCTGTCTTGCGTTCATTGCACTGGTTACCGATTAATTATCGCATCCAATTCAAAATTCTGCTTTTCGTGTACAAAGCTCTAAACAATCTTGCTCCTCCATATCTCTCTGAGTTGATTATAGTACACAACCCAGCAGCTAGATCACTCAGATCACAGACTAAGCATCGGCTTGTGATTCCCAGAGCTAGATTGAAATGCAGGGGTGACAGAGCCTTTGCTGTTGCTGGCCCCAAGCTATGGAACAATATGCCATTATTCATCAGAATAGCTTCTCCAGAGTTTAAAAGTCTTTTAAAAACGTATCTTTTTTCCCATGCTTTCAATGTTTTGTGACTGTGGATTTCTAATGACGTGTTTACTCTATTGTGTGTTTGGATCAATGTAACTGTGTACAGCACTTTGGTATACTAAGGTTGTTTTAAAGTGCTTTATAAATAAATTGAACATTGAACATTGAATAGAACCTTTGTGCTTCTGCACTGCAACTCCAGTCTCCCCGAGACAGCAAGATGAGTTACACAGTGCATGGAAAGATACATGCATAAGAGTGAATCACAAATCAGTTACGCACTCTTACTTACCGGCGTAATGAGCGAGGAGTAAGGCTTGATCCTGATTAACAGGAAATGAAGGAAAGGAAAGCAAAGCCCTGGTTTCTCTATTGCTATTTTGCCTTTTCTCTCTATTCGACACTCTGCCATGCCTCCTAATTCATGGGTGAAGGAGAAGGCGCTGAGATCATCTTCATGTCCTAACCTAAGGGCATGATGAAGGGCTCTACTCTGACTTGATTCATTAGGACTCTATGTAGCCTCTCGCTCTGCTGTGCACTTATGTGTGCACAAGTGAAACTGACTGGCCTCCAGTGAAGGACGGCCAATGATGAATGTAGAGCACAGGAGGAATTCGCACTCAGTGTTTGCGTGATATGAAAATGGGACAAAAAGTTGCATGAACACAAGTGAGGGCAACCAAATGAGAACGCTAGCTCTTAAAAATAAAGGTGCTTCACGATGCCATAGAAGAACCTTTTTGTCTAAATGGTTCCATAAAGAACCTTTAACATCTGAAGAACCTTTCTGTTTCACAAAACGTTCTTTGTGGCGAAAAGAAGGTTCTTCAGATTATAAAAAGGTAAGAAAGAGATGGTTCTTTAAAGAACCTTTGACTGAATGCTTCTTTGTGGAACCAAAAATGGTTCTATGGCATCACTGTGAAGAACCTTTTAAGCACCTTTATCTTTAAGAGTGTACTGAGATCCCAATATAAAACACATGGTGAACAAAACAAATACAAAGAGACTCCATACAAATGTCAGGAATAAATTGTCACCAATTAAAGAAACGTGTATGTATTTTGTTAGCCTACACTTTATTTCAATAAGGTGTCCTTGGTACAGTGTAATTATACATGTGAGTAATATCAATTAACTATATGTACTTACTATATGGTTAGGGTTACTTGCATGTAATTATGCATAATTTATTGTTGTTATTATAATAGTAAGCACGTGTTACGTGTAACAAGGACACCTTAAAATAAAGTGTTACCATGTGTTTTATATCTGGCGCTTCAAAAAGGAGAAATAAGTCTGATGCTTCAAATGTGAAGCACTTTTCAAGCTATTAAATGGCATTCTGAAACAAAACGACTGCTCAGGCTAAAGAACTCACTTTGCCACGGCTCTCCGCGCGGTGATGCTGGCGACGATGATGCTCTCGGGTCTCGGCATCGCCACGGCTTTGAACGTGCCCTGCCAGAACTTCTCAAAAAGCAGCTTCTCTCCCTGAAGTGCACCTGCCATGGCGTCACGATGTTTTAGGGGTGAATACCGAGAAGAACCGAGTCGGTTTTGTGCCGTAGTTTCGATGAATCCTCAACACGGTCGATTTGTGTAGGCGGCTGAACGAGGGAGCTGTCCAAGTTCTGAAACCAGCGGAATGTTTGTGGCAGCGATCAGCTCCTTTTCCCGGTGTTTGTGCTTGTCTTGCGTGAAGAGTCCGATTTAAGCTCTCTTCAGAGTCTGTTTTTACGTTTCCCCCATCAGTTTCATGACGACGGCGGCCAGCTTCTATTAATTGCCTCTGCGTCCCTTTTCGCGCATCCCGCCTTCAAGTCAGTTTAAGAGTCGGAAGCCACCAGCTGAATCGCTTTTTCACAATATGCATTGAACTCCCAGTAGTTAGAAATTACATACACGAGCGTGCATAAGTCCAGTGCCAGCGTATGTGGACGGAAGAGTTCTGACAACCTCAGCTCGCTCGCGTCGCGATGTGAGAAACTCAGCCGATGCTGGCTCGCTTTTGTTGCGGGCACCTTGTGACGTTAAAGAAGAGAAGACTATAGGTCACAGGGAGCGTGACCATCCCTCCGTGCTCGTTCTCTCTCTCTCGCGTCCTCTGACTTGAACAAAAGACGGTGCCTGTTGCCTTAATCAGCATAACAAAAGAGGCAGGGGTCGGCGCAGAGGCAGCAGACGGAGCATGTGTCAGGCACAATACTTCCGAGGCAAAGCATTTCCCCCATTAGCCCTCGAGGCCCCACAGTAAACCACCCTCCCTCTCCCAAACACCACCTGTCACTGAAACCCCACCTGCAGCTGCAGAGTGCACAGGTGATAGTACTACAAACAAAAGCAACAAGCCTCCTCATTTAGTGCCTTTGTATCTATGTACACTCTTCATATGCAAGTCATTCTTTCAGTTTGAAAGGCATCACTGAGTCAAAAGTATGGACACATAGGTTCATTCTTTAGAACTACTATTGTTCACATTTTAGAATAATTGTTCAAAGTCATTAAAGCGATAAAATGTAAAAACTTTGCATTGGTCAATTATTACAAAATAAAAAGATATATCTTTGTTTGGCAACACTTTGCAATAAGGTTCATTAGTTAACTACATTAGTTACCATGAACCACGAATTAACAATACTTCTACAGCATTTATTAGTCTTAGTTAATGTTAGTTTCAGCATTTACTAATGCATTATTAAAATCACAAGTTGTGTTTGCTAACATTAGTTAATGTACTGTGTGCTAACATGAGCAAACAGTGAACTACTTGATTTTTTAACAAAAATGAATAAATAGTGTAATAAATGTATTGTTCATTGTTCGTTAATGTCAGTTAATACATTAACGAATGTTAACAGATAACACATTTGTAAAGTGCTCACCTTTGTTTTAGCTTATTAAAAGATTCTAAGCATTTCCATTGAATAATTAAGATCCTGAGAACTATACAATCATGTGACTGTGAAGTAATCAACTTATAAAACACTAAAATATGAGTAACATTGTATGATATCCTTCATTAATAACAAAACAACCATAACTTAACCCTTAAATCCCGGTGGTATCCTGGGGAATATACAGACGTTTGGTCAAATTTACATTGTAAAGCAACTACTTTAGTGACATATAAAAGTCTGGATTAAATGTACCATTTTGATCCAAAAGTAACATGGCTGCATGACGTGAGAAGACTCATGGAAAATTATGCTTTTTTTTATTTTCATAGGAGATACAAACTGTAGATTTAATAAAATTGCAAATGGTTAGGACGAAGCCTTTTTGCATTTACTGTATAGAATTTATCTGTTAAAATGTATCTGTTATTTATCTGCATTTGCATATTTTATACTTGTTAATGACTTAATGATAGCAAACATAAAGTGTTACAAAAGTATCAGTTTGACACATTTGGCAAATTTATCAAAATGTGATAATAGATGACATGAAGGTGTTAGTGAAGGTATAGAAGAATGAAAAAGTAGTATGCTGAAAGGAATATGATGAATTTGCCACACAAGTGAAGCAGCTGAGCTTTCATCATAAGCATACATAATAAGTGTGAAGACACAGGCTGGTATGATAGCTGCCATTCATTAGTTCTGCTTATTTTAACAGCTAACATGAAACTCCATGTGCAATGCCACCATCCACTCGATTATAAAGGAGAACCACATTGTAGTGATATGAATGAGGATTAAGCCTTGGCACGCTTCAGTTGAACCAAATTCAAAGATTAGTTCATCTTAACATCCCATATGTTATGTTTATACAGCTTTTCTTTAACATGACTGTGTGCACATATCAAAAGCATTTTTTTCTCTATGTATCAAATTACAAGTTTTTTGTTCTTTGCATTAGCTCATTTCTGAATAAAATATGAAAAAAATCTATTTATAAAATTATTTTTTAATAATTATTTCCCTACTTTTTAAACACCCAATGAAGATCTTATGAGCCCCTTCCCTATGTAAGAAAAAAAAACAAAATGCTAGAGTGCAAAAGCTTAAAAGAAATGTGGAGTCCAATTTTCTTTTACTGTAGTTCAATACAAAACTTTAATCCACTCTTAATCCACTTTTTGGTTATTTGATTTTGGAACTGGCAGGTGTCACGATCTGCTACGGTGCGGGAACACGGAGCAAGGAACGAGGAGACCAAGAGTACAGAAACCAAGGAATTTATTCATCTTCACGGGGAATCACACGTAGCACTGTAGACACAAACAATACCGGACCCTGGAGCACACACAGGGAACACTATTTATACACACAGGAGAAGGGGATGACGAGACACACCTGGGAGCAATGAAACATCATGGGAAACACCTGGGACAAATTAAACATGGGAAAGGAAGGCACATGAGGAAAACAACCACAAAACACGGAACAGAGTCTGACAGCAGGTACTTGCATGGAAATTTAAATTATATAACCTTCAAATCATCCTGCATGTAGAATATTTTTTTAAACATATACAGTATTTAACACACAAAACATTGTATCATGGCAAAAGGTAATGTAATGCAGGGTTATTAGTTACCTAAAACCAGAAACCGTTGCTTGAAATAAACATTTTTTTATATATATAAATTTTTAAAAAATTGCATTTCCCATAGTTTCCGAGGCAGAATTTCTCATTTTTATTCTGTTTAACTTCATATATATATTTTTTATTTTATTTTTTTTTTTTTTAATGAAATTATGACATCTCCTCATATTTTGCATTCTCATATTAAAAGGCATTGAGTTTTGGCTGTCATAGCATCTCTTTTTCCTCCCCGCTATCATGTCCATTACTAAAGCCTGGCTCTATTCCTGTCACCACATGAAACAGAATTGTGGGTAACTGCTCAATCCTGTCAGCTTTTGTTTAATTCCAGTAGTCAACATGTCAAGAGATGGGATGCTCCGTACACAGCATAAGGATGGGGGAAAAGGCTACATGAATCACTGACAGAAATAAACTAGCATGAAACATCATTCTAGATACAAACTGCCAGGGCAAGATGTTGATTCATATTTAATTTCCTTTGAGTGCATTCCTGCATGAAATACCGTCGAAATGCAAATTCATTTTGATAACTTTATATTGATGACTGAGAGAATGGACTGACATCATGTGACATCATCTTCTCATCTCTGGGAGAAAAAAAATATGTTGTTACTCATTACTAATTGCATGTTGTAAAAAGGCATATTCATTTGATTTCTGTTAGTAAGTTGTATTGGCAATTTTAAAATGTACTGTAGGTGTCACACTTATGTTCTTCTTAGTTGTGTTTTCATTCCTCGTGTTCTGTGACTTAACCCTGCGTCCCAATGTGCATACTATACCGTCGAAATGCAAATTCATTTTGATAACTTTATATTGATGACTGAGAGAATGGACTGACATCATGTGATTTCATCTCTGGGAGAAAAAAAATATGTTGTTACTCATTACTAATTGCATGTTGTAAAAAGGCATATTCATTTGATTTCTGTTAGTAAGTTGTATTGGCAATTTTAAAATGTACTGTAGGTGTCACACTTATGTTCTTCTTAGTTGTGTTTTCATTCCTCGTGTTCTGTGACTTAACCCTGCGTCCCAATGTGCATACTATCCACCCTATCTGCCCTAAATAGTATTGAAAATGACTAATATCACATAGAATTTAGCATGGATAGTATGTACATTGGAACGCAGGCCTAGTTTTCCCTCGTGTTTGATGGTATCATTATGTTCAGGTGTGTCTTGTCAATTATCCTCATTTGCCCTCCTATTTAAATTGTAGTCAGTTCACTGTTTCTTTGTCTGGTATTGTTGTTGTTTTGCTGCGTGTTCCCTTTGCATCTATGGATTATCATCTGCTTGGATTCTAATTAAACTCTTGTGTGTATTACTTTCACCGTCGTGTGCCTTCCCTCTACACGAGCGTGACAGTAGGTTTGTTGGAATGGAATGGAAAGAAAATATCTCACTAATTCTTGCCTTCACACAGACATTCACATTTCAATATGCAAATGCAAAATATCATACACTCCAAAATAGCATAACTAGTTTACAGTAAAACAGACTTGATGGTGCGAATTACAAATATAATTAAATCAAAGTGGCAAAAATAGCCAAACCAGCTGCGATGTTGTCACAAATCCGTTTACTCACCACCAGAGGTCACCCGCTCACTACATGGACTCACACACTACACAGACTGTTACACTATACCCTGGACTACATTTCCCATCATCCATTGCACTGATTGCACACAGCTGTAACCAATCACACGCTCACCTGAAAGCTATCACACACACTATACAACATCCACCCAGATCCTGCTCTAGTCGTTGAGTATTGTCTGCGTTTATTACTCTCCTAGTGATAGCACTTTACGGAGCCAGTTCCAGTTTTCCTAGTTTAGTCATAGTCTCGCCTTGCCTGTTTTCCTGTGTCCAGATTCTTGCCTGTGTTTTCGGATTACCCTTTTTGTCTTGCTGTTTCGGACTCTGTTTGCCCCTGCCTGGATTATTGCTATGTACCTGGATTATCTCTCTTTGCCTTGCCCTGTT